AGCAGTCATGCTTGTTACATTGAAGTAAATATAACAGTTTCTCCAAATTTGTTTCCTCATGCAAAATAACTATTCCCAGTTTATAATTCCTGCAGCTTTGGTCTCTGGTTTTGTTCACGTTATGAGAGTGCATTTTACACGAGGACTTATCTCCAGAGTACTTCTAAAAGAGAATTATTTGAATAGTACACTGTATTTATGAAAACATGATAATATTTCTCAGATACTGAGCTGTGCTCTTTTGTTTCTGCCATCTCTGCTTCTCTACCGTGGAACAACTTTGTTAGCATTATGTTGGTAACAGTTTATTGATTTGTTTTCTTCTTCTCTCTACTGTTCTTGGGATGCTCCAGCTGTTCATTAAACTGCCTAATGGCCTCATACCTCTGTTCAGCCCCATGCATTTTTAAAGTCTAAATTAGGTCTGCCAAATAGCTCATGGTTTCATTTGGGTGGAAGTGCTGAAAGTTACTGGAAAACGACACGGCACCTCTGGGGAGGCATTTTGCTAGGGAAGGAAAATAGGGTTGCTTGATCCAGCAGAACACTTATGCTTCCTGTCCTCTCTTCTGAAAAAGCAGAATCGGAAACAGGCCCTAAACAGAATTTTCCCCACCTTTCCCTCATGGTTGTCTGTCTTATGTGCCTCCTGGCTCATACTCATTGTAGGCAGAAATACTGGGCTTAGGGGTAGACCACAGGAGTTTTTAGTTTGTAGAAAAGGTGTGTTATGTTTCTTGCTATCACGAGCCAAAAAATCCCTCCTACTGTCTGTCTTAATCCAGATTGTAAATACTTTGGGCCAGGAACTCCACCTTGGTCTACAAAACATGGGACAATCTACAAGTCACGAACTCTTGAGGCATATTTATGTTATGTTTACTTGAACTACTGTAAGAATGATGGAACTATGCTGACAAGACTTCCATCAATATGGAAAACAATCCTCAGCCTCCTGTTTTCCCTTGGCACCTCACCCACACAGAAGATGTCCTTGCTGCTCATTGTGGCAATGATGAGGATATAGCCAGCACGCTGCGTGCAGCAGCACTCCAGGATTGATTCTGGAAAGGGAGGCTGTTTGGAAGGCAGGCCAGAAAGATATTATAATAATGAAGTGCAATCACAGCCAGATGACTGGGAGCAAGGCAATTAACAGCAGCTGACAGCTTAGAGTCAGCACTGACAGCATTTTTTCCCTCTGGCTGCTCCCATAAAACCAAGGCAGATGTGGTATTTATTGCCTGTCCTCCCGAACCCCTCAGGGTTTCTGGAGTCTTCTTGGAAGTGTATAAGGAGCTGTGGCTACAACAATTATCCCTTATCTGTCAGCATCCTGCAACCAATAGGATATTTGATCTGCATTTGTCGATGCACAGAAACAAGTCATCAGAGGAAATGGGGTTTCTTATTGCAGTTATTGTAGAGACAAGTAGAAGCATGTGGAGGAAGTTTTTCGAAGTGTAGCAGTGAGATGCTAACTCTGTTGGCATTAGAGTTTACTAAATTTAATGGGAGCCACAGAAGAAGTCAGTTAATGTTTATAACTCTACCACTGTTGTTCATTTTAAAATTACATCCTACAACACTAAGCCTGGCAGCAGCAAGAGCAACAAATGAGTTGGGTTTCTCCCTAAAAAAGAAGTGCTATAAAAAAATAAGAAAAAAGCCAAAACAAACAAAGTTATTATTAGGCAAAAAAAAGCAGCATTTCTTCATTTGCATCTGGTGCAGCTCATCTTTCTAGCTGCTTTTACTCTGCCATGATGAGGTTGCATCTGGAGTACTGTGTTCATTTCTGTGCTCCTCAGATCAAGAAAGGCAGGAAACAGCTGGAGACAGTTCAGTGGAAGGCCTCAAAGTTGGTGAGGGTTCTAGAGGAAAGGATAAGAGATGTGGGGCCTTTCAGCTTGGGAAAAACAGAGGAGATCTTATGAATGCTAATACGTATCTAATGGGTGGGAGTCAAGAGAGTCAAGGCCCCTTTCAGTGGTGCCCAGCGACAGGAAAAGGAGGAGTAATGGGCACAATCTGGAACATAGGAAATTTCACATGAACATTAGAAAAAAAATACTTAGCAGGTGACAGAGCTGCCCATAGAGGTTGTGGAGTCTTCTTCTCTGGAGCTGCTGAAAACACACCTAGACGCTTTCCTGTGCAACCTGCTCTAGAGAACCTGTTTTAGCAAGATGATCTCCAGAGATTCCTTCCAACCTCTACATTTCTGTGATTCTCTGTGATTCTGTGATTCTCCCTCCTTCCTTGCTGGGTTTCATCAGTGCTTGTTTTTCCTCATCCTTCCCCCGGATTCCTTTCCTCACTCATGTAACTTTTAAGATCCCAGAGATTTCATCAGCTAAAGATCCCCTCGGTGATTTGTCACAACCTATGTGTGCTGTCATTTCTCTAGTGGCAATTCTGCTTCTGGGAAGAAGAGCCCACAGTATGACTGCATTACAATTAATTCCTTGTGAACTTAATGCATCCTTATACATCAAACTTAATAAGCATTTGCTTGAATATTAGCATATTTTTAGCAAAAAGAAGTAGGACATGCATTTCCAACTTGCCTTGGATAGCAATGCATGAAGCTTGAGCTCAGGCTGTACTTATCTTCCTTAAGTTCACTAATCCCTTCCTTAAATGCACTAATCATTTTCAAATGCACTATCTGCAGTAAATTGCCGCTGTAAGAAAGTAGAATCTAATATATACACGAGGAGACACACATTGAGTAGATATTAGGGTTCAGCAGATACATCCATGCTATTCTGATGAAACAATCAAATTATCACCCACCAGTCACTTTGAAAAGATCAAGACGATGAAAGGGCAACAAGTGTTAGTGGACTGTCCATATGACCGTTCACCCTGATTGATGATGTTGGCCTATGGTAAATCATTGCTTCATCATAGCCACAGGTGCAGTTCATTGCAGCATGTGGTGGGTGTGATTATAGCAAAATACTGTCTCCTCCTTAGCTTTGTGTAGCTGACTAACAGGGGCATGCTGCAGTCAAGACAGCAAGTTGGAGCTTAAGATGTACATAAGGTCTGTACATATGAGAGAAAAATTATCAATGGTTATCATATGTATCTTAAGATGTGTCTTTCAGTCACATAGTCTTTCAGCTGGCAATAGATATAAACACATCAAAATGCCTGTGTGAAGTTCTACATGTCAAAGCCGTGCTCCTTTGAGCTGCTTAAGTGAAACACCACTGATTTCTGTGAATAAGTACAAAAGGTGCCTCCTTCAAAAATACATTGTTCAGAAAGGTGAAGTCTGGTTTGGGGACTGAAACTTGAAAACAAGTTGCCTGTGAAGTTAATTGACATCCTATCAGAGAGATAGTGTCACACCTCTTCCATAGCTGTCACTGCTAAAGAATAGGGGATACAGCAAGATATGTGCTGTGTCCAACACTATATAGTTCTTGGGTTTCCTCTCCCATGTCGCAGACAATGCAATTTACTGAGCGTTTTATCATATGGAACGTGGTGACCTTAAGTTCTGTGTGTTTTTAGGGAGTTTTTTGATGAAAAAAGAAAGCCCAGGAAAAGCAAAACTGAAGAATATGAAATACACCTCAGCATTCAGTTTATCCCGTCTTGTAACTAGGTGTTTTGCATTTTCTGTGAAGTGTTACTTGCAAATTGTAACATATAGTGATTATCCCCTTGAAGTCGCCCACTGGGAGATTAACTGTATGATTATTGGCTGACAGGAGTTTATGTGATGGCAATATAATGTTTAATTTTTCACTGATGTGCAGCCAGGTTTACTGTAGGCATAAACTCACTGTGATTGTCTGGGGTGAAAAGCCCAATTTCAGCCGCTGCAGTGTCACATCCCACCCATGAAGGAGGGAGGGGTGACCAGATTTGCAAATCCCCCTAGTTGAATTAAGATGAAATGACACTCAAGTTCTGTACATATGAGAGAAAAATGATCAATGGTTATCATATGTATGTTGGCTCTCCCACTTTTATCTACCTAAGCTGTATGGTTTTATAGAGAACTCAAGTGAGCCTTGCATTAACAACTTTAAGATACAGAGAGAAAAAAAGAAATAAAGAGTGGGAGAAAGATGACCAGTCATGGATCTGGGGCTACCAACAAGAGTGTTCCATGTGCTGTAGAACCAAGAGGAGAAGCAGCAGCAACAAGAAGTAGGGGCAGCAGCAGTGAAGAAAAAGGGCTGAGCTGGCCCTCTCCTAGCCCTTATGTATATTATCGAAGCAAAAAGGGTTGGGAAGTCTCCCCTAGCCCTTATTTGGAACTGTTGGCTCCAGTTCCAGGTTTGGTTGAGACACGAGACGCCAGTCAAACCAACAAAGGCAGCATCAGGCCCCCTCCCATGGTTGTCCATTTCTTGGGCATTGTTCTGGACCCTTGCAGGAGTGGTTGGGACATCAGTCCAAGGGACACGTGGCTCCTCCCTTGGCTTAACTGTCTCTTGGATTTGTTGCTGAGGCTTGTTCAAAACACATTGTTCAAAGACTACCAACGCAGTGTAATATCACATGTTTAATGGAAGGAAGTAGACTTGTAGTGGTCACTTTATATGGTTTTTCATCACAAATCAAATGACAAGTTATGCTTTCCTTTGTTAAGTTGTTTTTCACTTAAATAATAGTTAACAAAAAAGCCTATTCTTGTTAAGACATGATGTTGGATTCCTTGAATGGATGGCACAGCTATTTACTTAGTTTATTAGCATTTCAAGTACAGCATCAAATCACCAGAGCACGACATGCTTAGAGTGCTTGAACATCCCAAGAAATGAACTGCCAAATGAACTACCTGCTTGGGTAGACACATTCATTTAAGAATAAAACTGCCTTTGGAATGTTCCCTTGTTTTCTGTAGTTTACTGAAAGCAAATTTTCAGTCTGTCAGTCCATTTCAATTTGAGATCAGTGACAGTTACATTCCCTGTTTAGCTGTCTGCAGTTCAGTGCCATTCACGCAAGCCAGTATGAAAAGACAAGCACTCTTAAACAAATGAAAACCAATGCTTTATTTACAGGAAAAAATCTGTACACTGTGCGTACATAAAAATATACAAAATCATAATAGAAAATATAGAAAGTGTTAAAATGTATACAAACACTTCTTAAAAATGTGACTCCTGTAAAATCTTAAGCTTTGTTATTAGAGTACACATTCATTTAAAAAAATCATCATACAAAATAATTCTCAAAGCTATTAAAAAAGTACACAGTCTATATTTGAATAGTTCAATGACTACATAGTCTAGGAGTGATGCGATGATATGGGTAAACGTAAGGCTTTTACACAGAACTCTTATTTAAAGAACAAAACTCTGAATCTGATCACTAAGCCAGAGAGAAGAAATTTGCAGTATCAAAGCTCATTTAATGATGCAGGCATGCCCAGACACGGGCTACTTTAAATTTCAAACAGTTAAATCAGGTATCCTCCTTCAGTGTGAGAGAGAGGATAGCTTCCAGCAAAGAGCCCGGTGCTCCTACTACAGGTTTCCGAATCACCTACTTCAAAAAGCAATTTCATTTATTTAATATGTGTGTCAACTTTAAAAAGCATGTCAGGAAAAAGAGGACCCATTTATTTTTGCAGTCTATGTGTTTGATATTCCTTTCATGGTACACCTGCGTCACCTTTCAAGTGGCATTCTCCATCCTTAAGAACTGCTGAGGAGGAAGGGAATGAAAAAATCACTGTGAATTGGACTTTTATTTGGAACTACTTGGTTCAATCCAACTTTAAAATGAGTATGCTCAGTCTGCAAAACCATTTCGTGTATGTAGATACTACTCTTCATTTTAGTAAAAGGCTCTCTTGGTTTTGTTGACTTTGCCAAGAGGTCAATAGGAACAAGCTCCAGAATTTGTTCATCTGTACAGAGAGATTGCAGATCACAGTGTGTAAACAAGCTCCTTCTCTTTCAAGGTACAATTTCTTTTATCATTGTAATTTCCCTAACTTAACCAGAGTTTCACTAGCATAAAACTGCACAGTGAGGTAAAAGGAAAAAAAGTAGTATTCAGTAGTTTAATTAAGAATTAAACTGAGCTGAACTGTGAGTCTACGCCCAGGTAATCTTTAGAACTATAAAGGAATGGAACAATTAATAATTTACCTATAGCAGAAAGATTTTGGCTCAAAATGAGGCAAAACCTGTCCTAATTTTTCTTTCATAAACAGAAGAATACCTTGACTTAACCATTCAAAGGTTGAATGCATAAAATGATAGAGCACCACATGTCAGAAAGACTAAAGAATTCACAGTGGAGCTTAATGAAATTCAAAATAAACTCAGCATGTTTACTTAAGATGCTGCTGTGTTTCTGCTTAGTTTGAACTGAGTGCAACTTTTGTCCACAGTACCAGGGCACAGAAAAGGGGCTCCCTGGCTTTTGAAGGCAATTTATTCCTATTTGTCAGTAAAACTCCACAAATTTGAAACCTGAATCACTGTATCAAGTCTGAAGGGAGCTCAGGCACCAAATAACAGTGTTTGCTTTGCTGATGGCATGTGTCAAGAGCTGAGTCAGTGCAGACCTCCCTTGCCTTGGTACCATTTCTCTCTGCTAGCATGCAATAGCTGCACAGGAGAGCTATGAAGCCATGCCTACATCTACTTCCAAAAACCCTGTGATCTGGGTGGGAAGATGCATTTTCTTTCATACTGTCTACATTTAGTAAGTATCTATAAACAGCACTCTCACACATCACTGTTTTTAAAAGACACACAGATTCAGTGTTACTACACACTCATTGCTTCAAGTTGACTGGATCTTTGCCCTTGTGAAGGACGGTGAAATGCCCATAAATGCAAGAAATACTTGGTGGGCTCCTATGAAACCCACCAACACCAAAACCACAGAGAGTGTAAGCACTGGTGATAGCAGTACCTCTACAGGTCCTTCATGTTCCCTCTCCATTTCTACCCCTTCCCCTTTTGAACGAAGTGGAGGAGAGCCCTCAGTTAGCAAATCAGATGTATTTGCACTTGCATCAAAAAGCAAAGGACAAGAAAGACAGTAGGGGAACAAAATCTCTTTAAGCAGTCATCAGCTGTTTGACCAGACAGACCAATGTAAAATCACAGTGGAAACCAGTGCTACAAAGCCACTCTAGGGATCCTTGAGTTTTCAAGAAGATGGGGATCATAAATTGGTCTTCTACCCTTTGCAAGCAAGTAAGTGCCAGCAGCACAGTTCTGTGGCATCTTCTGAGGTGATGGTGCCACGGCATCCACACTGTACTTATGGTGGAGCAGTGACTGCTATATAAATCAGAATACATCAAATTCTCCTGGAAACAGTTGCACAAATATCTCAAAAGGTTGAAGAGCATCAGCATACCAGCAAAGAAAAAAAATCCGCTGAAAGGCCTTAAATGTGCAAAGTCCAGTACAGTGAAAATATATAGCTTGTTTTCTGGTGTCTCAGACCTGGTTCTACATCATGACTTAAATGATGCACTAAGTAGGTATGATAGCACTTGCTGCACGGAACTCTGCAAAAGCCACCTTGTTCTGTGCAACAGCTATGTGGACAACTTACTGAAGAAGTAATACAACATAATCTTGCTATGGATAGCTGAGTAATACAGTTAGCATTTTTTTTAATAGAAATCAGAGTTTGAGGTTAGTGGTTGCAGACCAAAGTGATATGCTTTTTTTCAGAACTTGAGAATTTCTTGCTTACAGAAAGTAGCAGTTACTAGTTCTAGAAAGGTAACCATCTCCCTTCCATTACACACATGTAGCAGCTAATCCAACATGCTAGAAAGGCAGATATATTCGGTAGTACTTGCTCAGACTTCAAATATTTTGCAGGCACCTTACCAAACATACTAAAAAATAGAATAGTATGTTATTTATCCTCCAGAAGATTAAATAACAATGTTATTAAGAATAAAGTTGCTGACATACATCAGTAGCTAATATATCCAGAGTCTGAAGCTAATATAAATAAAATCTGTTCCTTTTTATATGTACCAAAATGATTAATGGACACAGTTACACACAGAATGTAGAAGTACAGTTTTTAGACTGTCTGGACATATTTCCTCTCAGCGAGAGGAATCTTAGAGGATCATAAGGCCCAAATTAAGAAGCTACATGGGAAAAGAAAGCTAAGCCCTATGCAAGAGATATTCTTCCCTTTTGAGGAGAAAAAATCATCAGACCCTAAGAGCAGAGGGAAAAAAAAAAAAAAAGACAATGATGCTTACATTGCTATCAAAGTGGAAATAGTCATTCATACCATTTGCACACTTACTGTCTCACTGTTGCATAAGACAAAACACAAAAGATACTTTCCAACACAAACTCTCAGTGGCTCTTTTCAGTGCCTTTTTGAACTGTCTGCCTTTTCACTGAATGGACATGAAGAGGATACAGCTGTGTTCTACTAAATTTGACCTATGGGAAAAGGTACAGTCATGTGAAAAAAAAAAACCACCGCCATCAATGGAAAGAAAAACAGCACACAAAAATCCTCCTGCCACTCAGGAGGCAATCTGAAACTGAAGTCTTCATATTTTAGATGTCTTAGCGTTCACGTCGATTTTCAGAATCGCCTTTAGAGAATGTTCTCATTGTGTGTCATGAAGGAAAATATTAAATGATCTCCACATGCTGTCCACAGTCAGTTTGTTTTTGCAGGCATTACAGCTTCTCTGGGGTACAGCTTTTCAAACATGCAGTAAAAAAATGCTGATATCCTCTTTTGTCAAACAACTCCCATACTTTCTTAAGAGCAGTAAGTTGTGAGCAAACAAATTTGATTTTGATCACAGTGAAATACCTCACAAATGATGTCTGTAATCCTCAGTGCTATCTTTGCTGCAGAAAGGTGAGCTCCCTCTACATTTGCTTGCAGTGCAACTTGTGTTTGCTACACAGTCTCCCTTGGCTTTCTCTGGATAGTTTTTATCTGTGCGTAGTGTGGGAAGGCATCATTTCCCACTCACTTACACCCTCTTTGTAGGCCTCTCAGGGAAAATATTTTTCTGAACAGGTTATCAGTATGTTTGTTGCTTTCTACAGAAATGAGAAACTTCTCTTTTCCCTGTACCCCGCTCAGTGTGAGCAATGGGATGTGACACCAAGGGTGCATCCAGTGATTTAACTGATTTAGCTGCGTGTTTTGCCATCTACATCTGCACTGATTTCATAGCCACCATAAGGCCTCCTGTACAGTTAGAAGCCCGCAAGTGAACCAGTGTATGAATAGGAATTAAAAGACTCCTCTAATCAATGAATATTCAGCTCAGAGTAGCAATTACTTCATTCTTGGAGAGTGTGAAAATCCAATGGAGCCATGAGAAATGCTGCATTGTTCAAATGGCAGCTCTGTACACAAGTGATACAGGCTGCTACACAATGCCAGATTTAACAGTTAAATAAGTTCATTTAAAAAAAGTTACAATCTAGCATATGTGGCATAAGAGACCACTGACAAATTCCGACGGTCACACCCACAACAATACATTATATTTCGGCCTAAGTATGTCCTCTGCACCTTTTGTAAGCTAAGCTTTGTGTTTTCTTTAACTATTTGCAAAGCAGTAATAAATACTCAGGCTCAGAAAAGAAGTATTTCTCATGCCTGCTACTTAATTACAATTTAAAGACTCAAGACTGGATTGGTCTAAGATACATTTTTCAAGTATTCTCTCCTTGTTTATAGTACGACAGTAGTACCTTATTGTACATTGTTTGTGAAGGACTCTCTTCTACAAGGGTGGGAAATCATTTCGTTCCGGGCATTTGACAGACTTGAACCCTGGCAAAATGACCTTCCCCTTTCGGTACAGATCGTCCTGCAAACCTTTGTTCATCCTCTGCACCAACAGCTTCTCATAGAGCAGCGGGTGATAAGCCCCTAAGGTACAAGCTGCATCGTAGTAGAGTTCGTGGTAGTGACATAGGTCGGTCTGTCGGACTGAAGGGATGTATTCATACACGTGCACTTCGCTACACATGGACATCATGATGAGGATACCTGGAGCAAAAAGTGAAAACAAGAGTGAACTTATACAGACTGATCCCTATAGAGTTGACAAGGCAGTACATGAAGCATAAGGACGAAGTAAAAGGCCTCTAAGTGCTTGCACCGCATCAGCCTCCTTGAGGGAGAAGACTGCTCTCTCTCCCTCCTCCCTGTTTTCCCCACCCTGTCCACAAAATATCCTACACAAGAATCAAGGATCTAAAGCAGCTGTGCACTAAGCCAACTGATGACGTTTCATAGTTTTATTGTGTATCATGAATTCTTGAAATTGTTTACCAAGACAGACTAGGTATACGCATTCACTTGGACAATTCAGATTATGCATACATGCAGAGCAGTTGCCTGATGTTTTTAAGGAGCTTTTCTTTATATTTCTACCAAACACACAGCTAAATTCTGGCCTGTTATGCACAAGAGATCTAAAAAATTTCCAGTTATTCCCTTTCCAGCCAATGCTGTGCTTTAAGATATATTTGTCTTGCAAACGTTTACATACATTTTTATCTTCAAGGCTCTGGAGAATCTAGCAGAATACTATTTGCCCTTTCCTTTTTCTGTATATAACGGCAATGAGAAACAAAAACTGAAAAATGATCCAGTATCACCCATGTTTCCTCACTTGGCAAGTTTTGAATGGTTGCTTCCGATCATTGGCAATATTGGGGTACCAGTGTAATCACTGAAACATCTACATCTTATTATAACGTTGGTCTTTTTTGGCCTGGAATTGAAGCAACTCCCCTTTTTCTATTCACCTGCTTCTCTATAGACAGGAAGACATTGCAAGGAAAGCAGCCTAAGTACATGCAGAAGAAGCATCAACCAATATTGGTGGGTGAAAGTCCAGAGCTTTCTCAGAATTTTCTGGTGGATTTCACGGAGAAAGACTCAGAAAGGTGAAGTCCCTCTTAGAGCAGTGTCTTCAAGAGGAAAAACCTCATTCCACCTTCTGTTCAGCAAGGAGGAACCTACAAAATGCTAACTCACTCTTTCTTGCCATGTCTGAATAGCAGACAATCACCTGCATTGTCAATAGCTGCATAGAAAGACCCTAAGGAAATGTTTAAAGCCCCTAAAGCTTTAAAGCCAGCCAAAGGTTAGCTTTAACCTTATGTGCACTCCTTAGATGCTGTTGTTACTCTCCTTAATCCTGTGTTTGGGATGAAAAATAAGACCAATAGAGGATCTGGAGGAAAACAGGTGCTTAGGCAGACATTGCTTCCCCATGGCACAACTGTAAACCTGTACTACTAGAAGGTTTTTATAGCTCTGAGAGAAACTTATATGTGGCATTTGCACATTTTTGAAGGGACTAATATATATTGATCAATAGCACTGCCTAAACTGTAATACTTTCACATCAACTTCACATCAGTTTACGAGAACCTCTTCCACCTCTTCCATTTTATACAACATATGAAAGGAAAATGATTAAGCCTTGTTGATACTTTTTTTTTTTTTTTTTTTAAGATGCAACTTTAAAAATCAAAACATATAGAAAATTTATTGAAACACTTCTTGCACTGCTGGTAACCGCATCTGTTGAACATGACCGTCAGCTCTCAGAGGAGACAGCTGGACTAATTCTGCTCATTTTGCAAATACAAATGAGAACTGAAGTCATTGGGGTTTTTTTTTCATTACAACAGTTTTGGAATCAAAAAGCATCAAAGGTGTCTTGGATGATTGTCAAAAGTGAAATGAATTAACATAAAAAATTATTTTGCTTCTTTAATTAAGCAAGCTGTTTTCTGAAGCTCAGTTTGCAGTTTGGGAACATTTCAATGGCTTGTTAATGAAAAGAACCTTATGTTCTTCCTGCTGTGTATCATTAGATTATCAAAATGATATTTTTCCTCGCCTGATGCGTGAAGTAACTGAAAACCAATTACTTCTGTGATTAAATCTTCTTTTATCACAAATAAAAGGTTCTGAAAACATCTCACATTCTTCTACAGCTTTAAAATCTACAGAGCCTATGGCCTTAGAAAGGCAAAGCACACCAATTTCAAAGGACAAGTCCACAAATTTAAGTGAACTTTAATCTTAAGCAGCAAGATACACAAATTCAAGGTGAAAAAATGTCTGCTTTCAATGTGGGTAAAAAGCACAAGCCACACTGCCTTGCCTCCAAACTCTTACAGAGATGCTCTATATATTTAGCCTGCCTAGCAAATATATCTAGAATTGTTTGTTTGTTGTTTCAGTTTTACAAATGCTTTCGCCTGCTTTTCCACTGTGAACCTCCTTCCTCAACTGATGGAGAGCCCACCTGCCACTCCAAGGTAACCGTTATCCAGCTGAATCAGAGAACAGACGCTGGAAAGGTGTGCAATAATGAACCATGTCCAGAAACAGACCATAAAGTCACTTCTCTCCTGCACCCAGAGTCCAGCCTGGAGCCAGCTGCAAAAGCTGTACCACCACTGTAAGAGGAAAATTGATTCTGATGGAAAATACAAGCCTTAAACAGAAAATGTCTGATTTCACTGTCACGTTACCCAGCTAACCTTAAAATTACTAGAGGAAATTGCCATTTGTGGGATAAGAAAGCTGTCAAGAACAAAAACTGGGACTCTGTTACCATTTCCTTAGTGACAGCAAAGATGGTATGGTTCATAATGACAAAATTCCAAGCAGTACCACTGACTTTCCTGTAAATTAGTTAATGGAGCACTCAGAAATGGTAACATTTTAGTTCTCAGTGACCTGTGGATGTGTGTCCTCCAGAATCAATCTAAAAGATATGTACTATCTAATTTAGCTCCTTGCTTTTCCTATGTCATTCTACACAGTCCATTCTTTGTGGTTTCAAATTAGGTAAATCAGATAACTAATTTCTGGCAGTCAATTCAATTTTTTTGCTTGTATTGGCAGTCAATTAAAATTTTTTGCTTGTATTGGACAAGGATGTTTTTAAGGATTAAACGGTGACTCAGAGCTAGTTTCTGAGTGGTAACAGTTAATTTACAGCAACACCTTTGCATTTAAATCTAAGGTAAATGAACTGGAAGATGAGTTTGACAATGCCCCATCCCTGGAGGCGCTCAAGGCCAGGTTGGATGGGGCCCTGGGCAGCCTGAGCTGGTGGGGGGCAGCCCTGCCCAAGGCAGGAGTTTGGGCTGCTGGGCTCTGAGGTCCCTTCCAACCCAAACTGTTCAGTGATTCTATGAATCTGTGAATGACTAGAGACTATCATACACTGAGGTGTCCTTGGGCCACAGAGGTTTATCTTTCCTGGTGGAAATGTGAGTAATCCTGAGACTTACAGACCTGATGCACCTGTCAAACGCACAAATCCAGCAAAAAAAACCCACCAAACGATGGTCAGTGCCAGACTTTTTTTTCTTTAGCATCTTTAACACCACAGTCAAAGAGACCAATAGTGTGGTACAGCCAGCACTTTCATCCTAACAGCTGATGAGTGAGAACCCAAGACACTCAGGATAACACATTTGATCTACAGGACACACAAAAAACACCCCCCAAAATGCTCTTTCTTGGGGGGAAAAAAAACCAAAAACATTTGTGAGCTGCTTTCTTTGTATGAATTGAATCCTAATTAAAATAGAAAACAAATGGGTTCAGTACTGTCCCATACCTTCTAAGATATGAACTTCCTCCACATGGGAATACCTCCAGATCTTATTGCCATCTAAGTTTACAAAAAACATCTTTAATACAATAGCAGCACTTTAAACCATGAGGACATTCGCACTAGTACTAGGATGGATTCAGTTTTTCTCTGCTCTCTAAACTTGCTCATTTTATTCTGCTTTCCTCTGAATGTCCAATCTCATTTCCATTTGTAATCCCAATTATCTCTACACATCTTTTTGTGTTATTGCTTCCCTGGTTTCTCCTCTGCAGCTGAAATTTTCTCCCCCACACGCTGACTTTAGTTTCCAGGTTTCCCTTCTTTAATTCTTTTCCCTGTGCTGCTCAGAGTACATCTATTTGCTTCTTTCATCTATGTAATTTTCACATCACTGCCCAATGCAATATCATCTACAAGTTTGTTTCATATCTCATCACTCCTCCTTGATCATCACCATAAAGGATAAACAAATTTTCTGATAGCCTGTAAGGCAAAGAATTTCCATATAATACACCCAAACACTGGTCTCTGTTCACAGTCCTTAAGTTAGCTTTCAGACAATGCACAATTACTACATATAAAACAGTACCAACTGGCTCACTCAGAACCTAAGTAGATGTTAATGGAAGATGGAAAGAGAGTTGTTATCCCATAACCTTGTAGTCTGGGCAGAATTAATCCCACAGAGATGTACATTTGCATTTCCAAGCAGTATGGTCTACAGTCCTCTTTAAAGACATTGACAAGAGGCAGGCATTTCTGTGGTAAAATTCATCAGACTTATTTTAGATATCTGTTTTATGATGGGATGAAATTGATCCTTATAAGTGTTGTTTTTTCTCTTCAGTGACTAGGTAGAAAGTGAACAGACAGTCTGGTTCTTGATATCTGTACCTTCTCCCTTCTAGATCTAAAGCTCTTTAGCTTAGAGAAAAATCATGTAAATACTTTTTTCAGGAACACTGGATGAAGAAATGAAAACAAAGTGTGATTCATCTGACCAAATTTGCTCAATGATGCAGACATCTACACCTCAAATAGCTATCACAGATTCCTTTGCTATCAGTGGAAGAAAGTGCATTCTCGGGATGCAGTGCCTGTCAACTCATCCTATAGTAAGCACTTAAGCACGGATCATGTGAAGACGTTCCTTCTGATGACAATGGGAAAAAAGGAATGGTAGCACAGATAACTTGTATTTCTCTTGTATTATACCTCTCTCTCAGTGTAAGCCAGGAGTTTTACACGTAGAAAGGAGCACAGGTCTAACAGCCATATTTACCCTTTGCTCTGCTGTGTCTGAGGCTGACAATCACACTATCACAATCATAATGTGGAGGCATCTAAAGCTAGGACATATGAATCCTGCACTCTGACTAACCTGGCTATGGACAGAAATCAGTTTTATGTGCAAGGACCAAGCTGATGGGAGATGGCCTTTTTTCACTCATAAGGATGTATGGGAATCAGAGTGAAAAGAACAAAGTATTTAGGGAAGACCAGAGGACAAGGCCAGATTGGATGGGGCTCTGGGCAGCTTGGTCTAGTGTTAAATGGGAAGGTTGGTGGCCCTGCATGTGGCAGGGAGGTTGGAAATTCATGATCCTTGAGGTCCCTTCCAACCCTGGCCATTCTGTGATTCTGTGATATGCATGACTTAAGAAAAAGTAAAACAGAAGGAGCTATCTACAGCAGGCAAAGAGCAAAATGGAGAAGTACTCCTTAGAAAGGTGAATACCAAGTAGAATTCATGGGACACACACACAAAAATGCCTTTATTTACTGAATAATCTCAGTAAAATCTAGATACCTAGATTAATCTAATTAATCTACTAGTAGCAGTATTACTACCATGCCTTGGTCAAGACCCTATTATTGTACAAAGAGTATAAAGAGTAGAAATACTGTCAGTTTGAGTGATGAAATCACAGTGTGGTCTGGAGGGACCCATGGATTACTTCAGAGGGAAAGGGATCTCCCAAACTTGTTGAGTACAATCTCTCCCATCAGATCAAGTACAGCTCTGAAGTTAGATCAGTTTTCTCGCAGCCTTGCCCAATTCAGCACTGAGTATCTTTAAGAACAGAAATGAAACTCAAATATTTTCAAAAGTTCACTGAAGCATTCAAAAATAACATGATAGGCATGATTGTGGAATCAGCAAGCAGGCTGGAAAATGACTTTTCTTCCAAGTCTGATGATTATGTTTTAATAGCTAGATCTTAATTATCCAATCAAAAATTCATAGAAAGGAAAAGGTCAAGCTATCTCGTGTAATTTTAGCTTTGGCAAACGTGACTGGTACAAGCATACATTCAAAACTGCAGCTGAAGATATTTCTTCATTGAAAAGAATATTCTCTTTTCTAATCTACGGTAATACCCTTGTTGGATTTTCCATCTTTCAGAAATCCTTTTAGGATTACAAATATAAGATGGAAAAATGCATAATAATTCTGCTTGCGTAGGGGAAACCTGTTTCATAGAAATCACTCAAAGGTGTGCTTCATTAATGTTTTATAGGTGAATGACAATGCTCCTAACTACTGTGTTGAAAAAATACAGAACTGTGAGCCTTACTTTGTGAAGTATGCTACAATATATTACTCCAAAGAAATGACATTAGAGAAACAGTCAACGTGTAAGTTTCTTAAAGCAGCACAATATCAGATGCCAATGAAGTATGGTGGCTTTCAAAATATGATATATTAATATTTCTAAGTCCTCAGAAGGATGTGTGTCTTTTTTTTTCTTTTTTTTTCCTTTTTTTTCTATTCAGCAGACTTTCATGATGTTAGGATGCTTAGGGTATGGTTTAACTCAGTCTGAGTGGCATAAGTAAATTCCTGGAATTTTACAATCTGTGCTGAAAACATTTAAAACAAAATTAAATTATTTGCATGGTTTACAGAAATAAATTCCAACACAAGCCATTCTGTGACTCTATGACTCTGTGATTATGGATTCTAATCAAAAGGAGAAAATGTTTCTTGATTTGTTCTTGGTGATTTTAATGACCCAACAGTTATCCAATTTCCAGCATAGATCTTTTGTACAGTACAATTAGGCTTTGTGGTTAGCACACTAATTTAAAAATGTTCTCTAGATTATAAGAAAATAACCTATAGCTTAATGGACCTGAATTCAACAGATGCTGTACAAAAGCATCTAAAATAATGTACCACTCAAACATTCAGCAAAAGTTCAGCATCACTTTAACAAAATTTAAGAGACTCTGGAAAAATATGAATAAGCGTAATCTGATTATTACACTCACAGTGTGACTCACTTCACAGACAGCACAAGTTTATTTACAGGAAAGAATTAAAGCTAGATGCACCAATATGTCTGTGTTTGATAACACAAGCGCTTGAAAGCATTACAAATGCACATAAAGTGTTTAGAAACTATAGTTCTCTATATGCTAGGCTACTTCTATCAACTCTACTTTTTTACTCTTGAGTAAACAAAGTAGCTTGTTGGATTTCAGATACCACAGGAAAATCTGTTACTTCTTGAAACAGGGCCAAATTTGCCTCAGGTATTCTTTGGAACACACATAAAAAGAAACTTTGAATTTTTTAAACTATTCTGTTTCTTCAAATGGGTTCTTTTACACCCGTTGATGTACTACGACAAAACTAACTGAAATAGAACATTACCTAAATTTGCAGAAAAACAAATACTTATTAAGGAATTTAATAATTACCAAATGCCTAAGCCTAACAAATTGTGTAATACTTGTCATCTTAGATGTATAATACTCACATTATGTACTAGAGCTAGAAAATGACATCTGTCACAATGTGGAATGCAAAAATCTATACATTGATCACAGTAATATACTCTGTAATATGAGCATAGACTGGAAAATATTGACCAGTAACATCCACATATTTTTTAAAATATATTTTTAAAATACATTATCTAAATTTGGGTGATGTGCCAGAATACTGAAGATTTTTAATGTGATCTGGTTTTTAATTTTTGGGTTTTAATGAGATTTGGGTGAAGAGAGAAGTTTGGTTTTTTATGTCTGTAATTTAAGATAGTAGGAGTAAGTAAGTAAGGAAGTAGGAGTTTAAGTAAGGGAGATGCTCAAGCTCTGTAATGTTTTTAATGTAAATGAAAAGAATTATGTATTGGAAGATTATGTATTGGAAATATTATTTCTCTGCATAAAATACTTGAACAATACTGAGCTGAAAAGCACCATTCAGTTCTTCAACCAACCACTGAAGAACAGCTGATTAAGTAATAAAGTGATAATTTAAGTGATAAAGGCAAGTCTTACTAAGTCGAATTGTTTCTTTCAGCTCATGGAAGTGTGTTTTTCTAAGCAGAGCTGGAGATGAGCTGCACTCTTCAACACGCTCTCTGAAGCCATTTTAAATTTAATATCTTAGTCATATACTGAACTGCTACTACTGCAGTGTAATGGTAGTCTTGCTTGTATGATTGTCTCAATGCATGCACATAAAGACTAAATATTAATGATATTAATGATGCAGAACTGTTTTGAGTCTGTAATGTGAACTGTAGAGCCTCAAACGCGCCTCTTCCTTCTCCTTGCAATAAATTAACCTGGGCTTGGTAATCATTTTGCATTCAGTGATTCATTTATTAAGCTAATAAAACGTAGAAACCTACACAGACCACGTTCAGATTTGGGAGTTAAAAAAGCCAATAGACTAACACTGTCAAAAAGGCAAAAGCTGCTGAAAAAAAGTGACAGGTATACAAATGTGAATTTCAGGTAAAATCACTTCTGAAGAGGTGAGTTAGAAAAATGTGCCAATGGACTACAGAAAGCAGGAATTCATACAAAGAGGTCTTCATTACAAAACTGTATATAATCCAGATTACATGAGATTTGGTGGCTGGACTCCTACATTTCATCATGTCTGAAAAATATGCAGCAGTTCACAGTCCAGGACTGGATGTAAACATATCAATATTCGTTTAACAAACCCAGTTTTCAACCAAGTGTGAACTAGTGTTGCCAACTGCAAAAAGTCACCAAGGCAACTTGTTGCCTAGGGCTAATGCAAGACAACAAGAACACCAGGCAGTCTTTTGTTTAAAAGCATGAAGGCGCAGCTGCAGAAACAATGCAAAAATATTTGGGAAAAGGATTCTCAAAGCTCATCTAAGATTAGATTAGGGACACAAAGAGTGAATAATTTATAACGAGGAATGACGTTAGCTAAGATATGACATGCCAAAAGACAAAGTTACAAGCTAGGAAAAGTCTTCATCAGTGTCTTGCAGTGTCTCAGAAAACAAGCCAAAAGACTCGCAGATTAAAACAAAAGATTTATTTTCCCTTGGAACACTGATCCCCCCCAAAAACAAAGCAAAACAAACCAAAAAATCCAACAACAAATCTATGTTCTTGGTCATTATTCAAACCCCTTGAGGCAGCTCCACTAGAGGATGACTTGTCTGTGCCATACAAAGATGGCATACCCATAAAGTTACACTACAAACTGGATGCAATTTGACAATGCGTTCAGTCTGTTTTCAATGATGTCCTGAACTTAAATCTATCATTAAGCTGGACAGGAAGCATTGTTAAACCAACAGCAAATTCAATGCAAAAGACTGCAGTCAGATACTTGTAGCACTGCTAAGGTGCAGAATGGCATCTGTGATGGATGGATTGCTGCAAGGTGACATCTCGCTTGGAAGAAAACTGAAAGCAGGAACATCTGCATGCTACAGCCTGATGCCATAGAAACTGGATGAAGTTGATGTGTATTGGGTAGTATTCATTTCACCTGATTTTAATAAAACCTCCATAGTATATGCATTATAGTTTAGCATTTCAGAAGTGGCTAGAAGCAGTGACATATGCAACTACTGCAAGATTTAAATCTGTATGAGAATGTACATAAAATGTGATATTATCAAAGCATTCCAGACTTGTGCCTTATTTTCAATGTAGCCTGTAGCACATTCAAGCCTGCTCCTCCCACAGACCCTCCACACCCCTTTCCTCCAGCAAAGATGTGCACTATTCTTACCTCACCTTAGCCTTGAGCTACTGCAGTGCGGATGCTTCAACTCAACAACATACTGAGCTAATACAGTGGGGTCTGGGGGAGCTTGGGGCTCCAGGACAGAGTTATGCTGAAACAGAGCAACCCATGACCCAAAATAAGCACAAAACTTGTCCTCTTCAGCTCCTATGCAGTGAAGTTACCAGGAAAAAGGTTCCAACTCTTCCCACTCAGGTAACAACATGTACAAGACTACCTCTTCCTCACAAATGAACCACTTGCCCCTTTTCCAAAAGGATTAATAATATTGTGACTTAAGTACCTTCACATAGCTATTTAACAGTGTTAAATGATTCTCCTGAATCTCTTGAATGTTAAAAGATTCTCTCTACTGCTGAAGGATGGGTGACTCAGTGCTGCAGAGAAACACCGTGAGAACACTTTCCATCCCAAATCCTCCCTTTGGGAAGACTCAGTTTCTTGTAAATAATACTAAGCACCAGAAATGGATATAAATTTCAGGTTCAAGATGTAATTGCTGAAGTAATTCTCTAAGACCACCCTAAAATCTTCCTGACACTCCTGATGCATCCACGTTTTAATTTTTACAATTTATACAATTTTGTAAACTGGGACTAATAAATAGGAAGAAGTTTGATAGTCAGAACATGTTTCGTACAGGTGCACTCAGTTGTGTCTTTCAGCTTCAGTTCCAAATGGATATTTGCTGCATGAGTTGTTGAGAGATACCTGACATGAAGACCAACATGACTTTTCAGATTTCTGCCGAGCTGCATTATATGCTCTATGCTTTGTCTTGCCCTTCGAAAGGATATAGTTGCTGTTCCTGTGCTCTCCCAGTTTTTATTATATGTGCAATGGATTGACATCTATTCAATAAGGTTTCTAAAATAGGAAGCCTTTCCCTAATGACACATTTAAAATGCATCTATCAAAATAGTAGGTAGTTATCAAACGAGGTGCGTATGACTCTCAGTGAGCATGTCTTACTGTCTTATTTTCTAGAAGCTAATATTAGCATTGCTAAAATATATAAAAGTTTACTTTGGACAAGAACCAGATAGATAAAGTAATATATTATAAATAAATAATAGGCATTCTTATATTATAAATAAAATAGGCAAATAGCCTAATCTAAATCTCCACACACTTATTACATGTAACTGTGCAGCTTTTGTTGCCAATGTTTTTGCTTCTTTAGCAGTTAATGTTTTCCAAGCATTCTCTGCTTGTAGTATATTTTTGACAGGAACATTTAGGTTCGGGGTTGAAGATCACTGTTTTATTCTTACAGTGAAATTAAATCATGTTTCTTCAAAGAAAGCTTTTGAAGTGTTTCTTATATACTGTGGAGAGTACAGATTGACAGCACAATGATCCTCTCCACTATTCTTATGATCAGCAGCTGTTATCCTATTTTTATCAACAACTTCATTACTCCAAGAATTGCTTTTGCAGAATGTGAATGCTGCTGATGAGATCATTCCACATGAGCAGACTTCTCCTTATGAATTTCTACACACAGGCACCAAAAATCTCACTTCAAGAAGTAACCTACTGCAAAGCCATCCTTTCCCCACACAACCCTTATCTTTTTTCCACTCATGATCCAGACAAGCACAGCCAACTCAGGACATCAATGGACGCTTTTTCAGGCACCTTTATGTTATCCCTCTCAGAACCTCAAGCACTCTCCCTATAGCCCTTGGTGAGCTCCACAAAACCATAGGATGCCACTACTGCATACGAAGCCTAGTATGAGCGCTCAGAAATGGTCTTCCCATAGCTGATGAAATGTCATATATCATTGCTTTTAGATTCAAATGAAAAGACAAGTTTCCAAGGCAGACAATGGCACTTGGAGTTCTATTGATTCCTGTGCCTCTAGATGCATAAATAAGGAAGATCCTGACTCGGTTTTGCTCCTCTGAACTACATGCGTCCTTTCAACATTCACAATAAGGACTTGCTATGTTCCAGATAATGCTCTCATTTACGACATTAGGCAGCATGAACTGTGGCCTCAGTGCCAAACTGTCCCCCAATAAATATTAACAAATGATGGAAAAATATGATGAAATTCTATTGCTTTGAGGGTAAGAAGAAAGGAGATGCTTCAGCCTCTTACAGACTTCACTGGAAGCTGTGACAGAGAAATTTCATTCCTAGGCATGTGCATGGGATTACAGTCTGGTCTGTCACACTGCATCAGTGACTCCACCCTCACAGCATGATGTGCTAACGGTCTTGAGCACCACTGTTACATGATCTCAACAAAGAACTTCAGAATTGAGTTGGTTGTCAATGGATAAATTAATATGGAATAATATAAATTTCTCATAGATGCGTGTATTTTAGAAGTATGATACATATACTATGAATATGAAGAGCGAGACAGCAGAACAGTAAATTCACCCAACTGTTTTATAGTTCTCATTTCTTGTATTTTGGACAGTCATTATTCCAGTTTCGATCAAGAACAAAAAACAGATGTACATAGATGAGATACTCATGAAACATACACATTTATAGTTTTGTTTTTATCTAACATAGGACTGGGCCCATCCTTGATGCACCTACCAATAAAACCTGAAGAAGGAGGGTTGGGCTGTATTTTCTCTTTAGTGTTCTCCTGAATGATGTCCCAGAGCTGCCATATAAACTTTGGATGGAGAATGTAAAAAGGCTGGTTTGGATTCTTCCTGCGATGCTGTACATAGGGAGTGAACAGATTGTAGTCCGGCTTCTTATACCACTGGGAAGAAAAAAGCAAGAACTTTCTTAAATCTTATGTTATCCAATGTATTTTGAATGCTACATGAGAAACAATGTGAATGAGCTCGAATGCCCTGGAGGCACTCAAGGCCAAGCTGTATGGGGCCCTGGTCACCTGAGCTGGTGGGGAGCAGCCCTGCCTATGGCAGAGAGTTGGGACTGCATGGGCTTTGAGGCCCATTCTAATTCAAGTCATTAGTGATTCTATGAAGGCAGCTGGCATTGGTGAACATTTGTCCTAGAAATCCTCATTCTAGGCCACTCTTCTGCCTTTTTTCACACAGAGACATCCAATAATCAACTAAGTGCAGCAGGACAAGCCAACCCCGACTCCCACTCAAGCCCACAAGGCACATCAAACATCAGCACGTGAAGCAGCCCTGTGACAGCCTATGCAAGAAGCAGGCCTTTTCTGGCATCTGCTGCCATGGGAGTTGAGCAGATGAAGGTTTCCTCCTACTTACAGCCTGCTCAGCTCCCAGCTCCCCCTGCCAAGAACCATCAGATCAACTGGTCCACTGGAGCTGCAGCACTTGCCTAGGCAGAGGCTCTCCAAGTGACAACCAGACGAACGTTGGCTGCTCTCAGCAAAGAGCACAGATGGCTGTGGGGGAGCAGACGCAAAGGGGAACTGGTAGAGGGAGGCCTGGGACACAGGGAAAGCACCAAGAGAGATTGTTACTGAGGTGCTGTATTTCGTCTGGGAAGGTGGGAAAAGAAGGATGCAATTTGTCACCTTTCTTGATAAAGCCTCTTTCTGAGATCTAGCAATATCCCTCCTTTGCAAATATACAGAAAATTCACTGCCACATAAAAATAGTAGCATACCTAAACGAAAAAAATCCACATCATTCATCTATTCTAGTATCTCAGAGGAAGCCACTCTAGTACAAGTGCTGGCTACAAAAAAAGCATTTTAACCAATAAACTTATTTTGGCCAGTTCAGGCATAAGTAGTGAACCCTACTCCTCAGAGAATGACCTTGAAGTTCACTGTGGTGAGAAACAGGGAGACAGGAGTACTAAATAGACAAATTTTGCCCAGTATTTTGGGACTGACTGGGAAGAAAGGAACAAGGAGACATCTTACCACATTCAAATTCGCAGAGTAGGGCGCAGGATCCCAGGCTACTAAGATAACATCTTTGTACAAGGAGCTGTCGACAAAGTGATGGTTTGGGTTGGTGAGAATCTGCAAATATACGTGTAAAAAAAATGCAGTTAAAAGCAAATGGGACCCAGTAAAAGGGCAAAACCCTACCCTAAAATAAACAGTCCTCCCCACTCTGCTCTTTGTTCTAATTTAATTTGGCTTTAAGCAACTTGTTCCATTATATATATATACATATATATGTATATAGACCCTTTTATACATAATACCCAAAAATAGGGTTGTTTTTATACATACATACATATATATATAGACACACACACATATATACATACAAAGAGCCTAGCCATAAACAGCACTATGACAGTTTGAAGTAGCAGTACTCTGAGTTACTCTCCATCTGTGATGTGATGAGACCACTTGAGATTCTGCATAATTGTACATCAGCACTACTGCGTGTCCCGGAACATTACAATGAAAGCTACGATATTTCACACTGCCTGCAGGATCCTCTTTTTGGACATAGACTAGCTTTCTTTGAAGAGCTACAGCCCCGAAGAATACCCTTGTCTTTGTATTTTTCTTTTATTCCCCCCCCCCCATTGGTTGTTTTCTCACTTCAACAGCAGCACAGTGTCATGTGAAGTACCTCTGAAAAGGAAAATTAAACCATGACAGTAAAAGCTCGTATACCTAGAAAAAGAATTCCAGGAATAGACGTGTGATAGTACTATTTTTGAAGTAACTGTGATATTGCCCTAATCTACTGCACTCTCATAGCTCCATCCCACATTTTCTAGTACTCTGCTTGATCCTCCCACCCCGATGGAAGTTTCCCTTCCACTTCTGCTGGCTTCTTACCCAGACTCTGTGTCTAACCAGATCCCTCTGAGCTCTGGTGCATCCAACCCAATGGAAGGACTGAACTGAATGATTTCTGCACTGGTTGATGCAGCATGAATTTAGCTCCAGCTGTTAAACTAATCAACATTCCAGACAAATTCATACTAATTTTCATTTCCCTTTAGGATCCAATGAGCCATATTTGATTATGCATATTTTTCTTCAGAAAAATAATATTGTTGCCATAGCAATATTCTTTCTACCATAAACTTTGAGCTTAATGACTTTGCACCAGCCTTCTACAATAAGAACAGAATTAGTCTTGCTGCCATCAGCATCCCTAACTCCATTTCTCAGAGCAGTTTTTGCCTGAGAACATAAACTTGTTTTATAAGACTACAGAGTAAGCATACCAAAAGGTCAAGCTTTTTAAAGCTCAGTTCTACAGTTATCACACAAAGGAGCTCTGCTTGCCTTTCAGCAAGCAAGAGACCTTCAGAGGTATTGTCCATAGAAAGTTCACTCTTAGTGAACATGCATTCATATGTATGAGATGAATTTCCTCTGGAATAACAATATGTGTTGTGCTTGCACTGGCTTCCTTCACATCCTTTGGGTTTTCATAGCAGGGAATGTGAGGGAAGGAGAGGGCCACAACAGCCTTTTAATCAACTGAATGAAGGAATTTCCTACAGTAAGGAGAGGAGGAGGATCAGAAAACCAGTATGGATTACACATCTTCAGTACTGGTAAGGAAAGCCAGTTCTATTAAGTGACCTGTGCAAATTTCTCTCCTGGCAGGGAAAGGCCAGTTTCTCAGCACGAAGCTTCTGATCTCTCTGAAGGAACAGAAAGGTGATGGGAATACAAATGTTTGCAAGGAAGCTGTGTGAGATGACTGGAGAAGCAAAGCTCAAATCACTCCCTGCAGGCACTTTTCTCTTTCTCTGTAAGGTCCACAGTTAGACTAGTCAACTAAATCAAGTTTCTAAGCTCTTCTTCTTGCCTTGGGACAGGGGCTTAGGCATGGTCAATAACTAGGATGTTTTGGGAAAAAGTAACCCAAAGCAAAATGAAGAACAGATGGGGAAAAAAAAAAACCCCAAAAACACAGTTGAGATAAACGACACTAAGATGTACATCAGTTACATCAGCACTCTCCAATATATTACTAAACCCAGAGTAAGATTTTATGTTCTTCACCATGAATCAGCACATACACAAAATGCTGTGTGGCCAGCCGTACCCTTGGCACTAAGTAAACTCACCATATCAGTATTTTATAAAGCTCTTAGCAATTCTGTTATTACACTTCGGCTGCATTTCATAAAGATGAAAGACATTTAGTTTGCCCAAGGCAACAGTTTTTCAAAATTAAAAAAAATACAACCATCAGGTGTCACTATAGCTCAATGCACGCTTCATTTGTTGACACTGATGTGCTGAAAATCCCATTTTCTATTTCTATTCAGATGAACAGACTCATCTCAGGTGTAACATCCAGTGGATACAGAAGTTTTTCACTAGATAGCTCCAAATTTTTAAAGAACAATGGCTGTCAGACAAATCAGTCCTCATCCTCTTCACCTTTCGGTGAGGAAATAATTGGGGAACAGGAGAAAAGAACAAAGCTTTGGGATTCCCACAGATCAGGTTTTATGAAGATCCTGGAAGTGGTGTGGCAAAATTCTTTGTTACTGAGGACTGTGGCATCCTGCACAGCCTGAAGAGGTGCAGAACACATGAGAAGCTCTGCAAACCCATTCCTTGGAACACGGATAACGAGTAACTACTGCAATCATTCTGAACTGACGGCTTGTGTCAACATCACTGTAAGGGAGAACTTTTACCTGTTCTATATCATGACTGTTAAATTACTAGCTGTTTGCCAGACTACCCAACATTTTCTCAGAAGTCATTAATTTAATGTCGTATCATGCAGAAGCGACACTGACTTGAATTCACAAAAGGAAGAGCTTACCTGAGAGTTAATGATTCGCATCGTTGTTTTATTTCCAACATCTTTTTCATAGCCACGTGTTGGAGCAGAATTAAATCTTAGAACAGCATCATGAGAATCTGGGAGCACAAATATTGGGGTCATTTTTATTTTTCTTAATGGGACTGAACATTAAAATAAAACAAATTATCTCAACTAAAGTAAAACTTGCACATTTCTCCTGATCTTGCTATTCTAAGGATTACAAACATTCTGCTACAAGCAAACAAAAATCCACTTGCATCTGCCATACATTATTATCCATTGGAAAAAAAAAATCATCATTTGTAAATTTAGCTTTCAATACTTAAAAATGTTTATTTGATAAAATTCACATAGAAATGTTATCAGTACATCCAGCACACACAGTCACTTGTTATCTCTATTGTAAAATTTACAGTTAATCGTAGAATCACAGAATGGCCTGGGTTGAAAAGGACCACAATGATCAGTGAGTTTCAACCCCCCTGCTATGTGCAGGGTCACCAACCACCAGACCAGGTTGACCAGAGCCACAGCCAGCCTGGTCTTGAATGCCTCCAGGGATGGAGAATCCACAACCTCCTTGGCCAACCTGTTCCAGAGCGTCATTACCCTCTGTGTGACGCAGTGGAATAGGTTGCCCAAGGAGGTTGTGGAGACTTCTTCCACGTTGCTATGCAGGAGCCCCACGCACCCCAACACCTAACTTCCATCTGCCTAAACATAATTATCTTGATTGTGGAGAAGCTAGAAGACACCAAGTCAATAGAACTGGCAAGTACTCCACATTTCTAGAGATGTAAAAGAAAAACAAAAGCCCTTTATACCCGAAATCTGCTTATTAATTTAAAATATAAATAAATTCGGACAACTTTTTTACTGTCTTTTGAGTGAGAAATTGGTTTAGGAAATGGGAACTGTATGGTTTCACAACTTAACTCAGAGACAATGTACTGCATTTCCGAGATTGTTCACTCTGTTTTTTTCATATCATGATGAAAAAAACATTTCCTTGATCAGAAAGTATTTCCTTGATTAGAAAGTATCAGGATGCAGTCAAACACTGATGACAACTGCTTTTAAATTAAGGGATTTTAATCTTAGTAAGTAGTCAAAAATAACTATTTCAAAGTTGCCAAAAGTTTGAGGTGAGATCATAGATCCCCACTACCTTTTGATTTTGCCAAAATAACTGTGTCTCCCGTTAAGTAGCATGATCACGTTGGGAGCATTTGTGGTATCGCATGTATTTCCACACTTGGTGTCCCTTACCCATATTTCTCTCCTAATGTAACTAAAGGAAACATCAGTATTTTTGTCTGCATTTCTAATAGGAACACAGAAGAGGGAGCTAAAGGCCTATGAAGAGAATGATCCTGCACTGCTCCTTTCCTACACCTACATCTTTCTTTCAGGAGAGTAAACAGCAAGAGTCTTTGTCCATAGCAACTTCATCAAACAAGGCAGTACAACACACAGCCTCCAAACCAGAATTCACACGCAGGGTGTTTCTCCCCACTCCCCAATGAGACAGTCTTCCCCGTGCCTCTGTGGACACTGAAAAGACTTCCAAGGAGTCACAGTGACCACAAGGACCTGTGCGTCTGATGGCAGTCAGTCAGGCCCCACAGTTTGGAGCTGAATTCTCTGTTCAATCAGTTGTACCTGCTCAAAGCCTGCACAACATTTACAAAAATCTTTATTGAATCTTGTTGCCCCACACACTCTCCTGTCAAGCAAGCAGGCAGGAGATGAAAAACATCAGCGTAGGCCTTACACAGCAGAATCTCTTCCTTTTAGGCAGCATCAGAATCATTTCCAATTAAACCAAAAGTTCTGCAGTGAATGGCATAAGCTTTCCATGCCCTGAGTTTTTATGACGGAATGGAAACACAGGAGCAAGAGGATCCCAAATCCCACACCTGGGCTGTACCCAAGCACATGCATGCCACGACGCATGCTGCTTTAATGCAAGTCACAGCGTGCTACGGATTCTCCAGTACATCACCCATTTGTACTGGCGTAAACTGGATGCAGTGGGAAACACTTGATAAAAGGAAATTTTGTTTCAGTCTACAATAACACACCGGAGAATGGTCAACATGCAAAGCTACCTCACTCCAGAGATTTCTAAATCAGTGGAGCCTTCCACTGGAGTGAAATAATGGATTACCCTAGTTTGACTTCTGACTTTTGCTGTAGGACATCAGGGCACCTGGGTTGTGCTGGAAGCCTACTAGAGTAGTTTGATAATGATAGCAGCTCTTAAATATCTCAAAGATTTAAAGGACACCCATCTGTGTCAAAGAGATGATACAGCGCGATGAAGCAGGTACTGGAATGCGAAGTTGTGGAAGATGGGAGGATTAAAGTGCGCATCAAAAGGTTTCTACAGTGCTAAAGGAGATAATTCTTCCTGCTCCAGAAGCAAAACCTGAGACATCCATCTCATCCTTCTTTCAGTGCTCTTAGCATACTGCATATATAGCACTAAAATGAACTACTGGGATGTTAATACAACTTGTAACACCCAATTTGGGGGGAAAAAAAACTAACAACAAAAAAAGGCAAAACAAGAACTGAGCCCAGTTTGTTTTATGGCTCCCCAATTCTTTTTTGAATAGCCAACACAAAACCCTCTGCTTTAAGCAAGGAATTGTATAATGTTGACATCTCAATGACTCACTGCAGCAATGGAGAAACAATGGGAAGAGATACTTGAACTCATTTAAATTCACACTTAGAAAAGAGGTCAGGAGACTTGATCTTGAAGAATGGAGTTACTGAAGGGCCTGAATTCTATTTGCTTGTGAGCTGTAAACGTGCAAGAGATTAAGATTATGCTCAATTGCTTCTTGGCACAGAGACAAAGTTTAGCCTGGAACAGTAAAGCCACAAGCAGTTTCCTGATGAGTCACACCAAAATATGGACAGGTACAACACAGCTTTTTGGAACAGAATCTGAAAGTGGCTCTAATCTGAAGAACTAAATACAGTTTGCAGCAAAATGTCAAATACGGCAAAACTGATGAAACTGGTGCCTCCTTTATACTACAAGCTGTAATATTACAAGAAGCAATCATTGTTTTCTTTAAATCAAATTAGGACTTCAGGCTGGATTTTCCTTTCAGTTATAATATTCTGAAAGGGAGCTTCACTCAGCTTCACTGAGATCTGTATGCTCACACTCACATAATGCTGGTAGGAGAGATTAACCAGATCCTTTAGAGGCCAATGCTTGAGAAGTATAAATCTTTTGAAAGACAAATGTGAATACGCATGTGTACATACTTATGCACATGAACAGATGTATTTCACCCACCTATTTCATCCCCTAGAGAGGAGTTCAGTATTGCACCAGCAGACATAACTACGGCACAACTCCCAAAGCCATGTGTATACAATTTGCCCAGTGGAATCTGAGGAACGTGCTTCTCCCATCCAAGAGTGGAGAAGGGAGCTTCCTTGCCATCTATTGTTCTCACATTCACCCTTTCTTTCAGCTCGCAGAAAAGCTGGTCGCCTGTCAGCTTCGAGTTTCGTTTCCCTTTGAAACGCACACCATGCTTATTGGTGCTCAAATAATCTTTCATCGCCTTCTGCAGTCGAGGGTTTAGCATCTTGGAAGAGACATCTCCTTTCCAAAGCTTGTAAAGAAAGGATTTCGACATTGTAGAATACAGCCCATCCCAGTCATCAGATTCATCAAGCATCTGGCTTCTTCTGTGCTTTGTGCTCCTTCTCCTCATTCTCCTCTGACGGCCCCAGTTGTTCTGTAAAATATTTTCTTTTGGATTATCCTCATTGGCTGAGATGAATTTTGCTACCTCCTGAAAGTTGCTGTGTGACATAGGCTGACCAGCAGCGAATAAATAATCATCGTTCACTTGGTAGAAAGCACTTTTTGATTTTCGTCCTACCTGTGATGGAAAAAACTCGTCTTCGCTTCTAAAGGCATCTTCCAAATCAGTCCATTTCTTAATACTTCCAGTCTCTGATTTAAATGTGTCTAAAAGATCTTCATTAAGGAGTACCTCATTCCCATCAATGGCTTCAGAGAATGAAGGATCATGTATGGCTCCCATGATGACTCTCTGCTTGCCCTGTAGGGGCAGGAGCCTCTTCGTTTCAATGTAAGAAAAGGAACTGGGAACTGGCTCAGCACTGTTGCTGTCTGTGAAATAGATGAAGATCACTAGAAAAAGCAGACCCCATGCAAAGATTCCAAACAGCATGAGTTGTTTCCATTGCTTCAAGTTAGGTTTCATGGCAATGCCTTTACCAGCTCCTCTGTGCCTTGAAGTACTGGCGAAGGAGAACGACACCTGTAAAGAACATCAAATATTGATCAGGAATGGCTTTAAAAATAGATACAAATCAGAAATAACTTCACAAGCTTTGATAGAAGGTGCAGAATTAATCTCTAAGCTGTAGCACAGAGCACTCAGATGCAGGAACAAACTCCAGAGCCCACAGACACTGTAGGAGTGACAGGCTTTGGCTGTAATCACACAGTGACAGCTGCTAGCTACAAAAGAAGCTGGTGGCCAGTTTCTACAGTAACACTGGATCCTGCCTTCAGGGAGATCATGTGCCTGCCTGCCTCTGTTGAACAGAACATACCATTAGAAAAGCAAAACCAAAACCCGTGCCTGGCTGCATGCACAGTGGGGAGAATATAAACTGTCTACTCTTTTGCACCAAGCAGGGAGCACAAACTCATCTGGACAGTCCTCCCCTGCCCACACCCCTGAAGTGGCACAGTACTCTGTGGATATCAGAGGGGGAGCAGGGAAGAGCATCACACCAGCAGTTCAGGAGCCTTTTCTTAGCTGCTGTGAACTGACACAGTCTCAGTGAGCAAAATTCTCTGCTGGGGAGGGCAGCCCAGGATTGCACCCAAATAAGCAAAGTGCTGTTCAGATGCTCTGCTTGGATGATGTGCATGCCCTGAAGTGATATGAAAGAGTTCTTCACATCAAAGCTTGAGGAGTTAGTGTTTTCCAAACAGGGTGCTGACTGGCACCTCCAGCTAAATACATGCCTTTAGGATAACGATGGAGATTTACATAAGGAGGGTGGGGAGGAATGTCAGACCTAGACATGAAAATCTGTGCTCCACTAATACCAGGGATTTTGAACAGCTTGTGTATTAATGGAGGGTTGTGTTGTCCAAAATGAGATCAAGTCTGAGGAAAGGGGCTTTGTTCCAAGGGAAATAAACTAATGCAATGCTGGACCATCACACACACCATGCCCTTACACAAACCCACTTGTGTAATGAAGTGCTGTTTGCGGGCTTTGGGGGCAAAACCAGCTGAAGAAAGTCTGCCCCTCCCTTACCATAATCCTTATCATTTCCCCCACCCCCCTGCCCCTGCACCATACTCATCATCAGCCACACTTTTAACACCACAGTGTAACTAACTGTATTCTACTTAGTGACACATGGCTTAGCTAATACAGTTTAAAAATAAGCCCCCTTTTTCTGGAGTTTTGTTCCTAACCCCATTTGCTCCAATGACCAATGGTGCCACTTAAAAGCCACTTGTGCCAGCCAGCTGTGATCAGAAAAGGAGAAGTGGAGCAGTGGATTTCAATAGCAGCCTGCACTGCAGGAGCACACATCGCATTAAACCCCACCCAAACACCACACATGGCTTCATGCACCTCTGGTAACACCTTGGCTGGTTACACCTCACAGCCAGGAGGGACCAAACACAAGATCACTGTACACTGCCACCTTTCCTCAAGCTGCTGAAGTATGTCATAGCTGAGTGTCAAGCTTAGAATGAAGGCTGTGTTCTCACATCGAAAGGAAATCAGCGGTGATGTTGGGGCAAGGTGTCCTCAGCCCTGCTCCTTATTCTTGCTCCATAGCCCTGCCATCTCATATAACACCGCTGTGCACAGAGCTATGCACAGCACCGTCTGTCCCAATACACTGATACAGCAGGGGTAGAGAGCTGAGGAAATACATATTAAAAGTTGCTTTTTATAGGAAAAAAGATTAAAAAATGGGTCAGCCCCTTTATCCATGTCACTGCGGTCACACACAGTTGTTCCAGCACAGACCAGGAGATCACCTACCACAGTGCGGGGACGAGAACAGATTGCAGGTAGTATGAGCAAAAATACTTCAGACCAGCATTTCTGCTGACCCCTCTGGAACGCGAGGCCACAGCATCACATTTCTAACACAGGCTATATTAAAAATCAAGGCGAAGTTTAGAACACTGGGGGATTTAAACAAAAAAAAAAAAAAAAAAAAAAACAAGCTAACTTTGGGACTTACAGCATCGTCCACAGAAGATTCAGTGTCACACTTGGGTGACTAAATTTAATCCCCAATATGCTGAAAGAAACATTCATGAATACGATAACCCCGTGCCTCTGCACACGTTTGGCTCAGCTCACGGGAACTACATGGAAAGAAAAAGCTATTACTCCAACTGACCCATTTCCCAGCTGCATTCTGCTGTTGCTGCCGCAAGATCATTCTCTGCAGGACCCCGACAATCCCTCCCTCTCCCCCCGCTTCCAATTTTAAATCACTCCAGGCGATGTCCTGTGGGAGCCCACTCACAGCATATGACTGTGTGCAACTTCAGTCTGCCCTGAAGTTATTGCGACCAGCCCACTCATCAGCGTTCAGATGTTTTGCATTTTTAAAGCTGCATTCTTCGCCTGTCTGAACGGCTTTCATCCCTTTTTATCATTTTCCCTGCTGTGTTTCCCCAGCACTTTTCAACACGTGGCTTCCAAACCGCTGTGTAAGTTGGTCTGTGCTCAGTCAGATGTTGCTCCTGCTGAATTCACATTTCTCACCGGATCTGCAAAGGAAGCATCTTGCAGAATCTTTCTAACAGACAAGCTTGTAGGAAGTAGAAGCGACAAAGGAAGAAGTCACTAATACCTTCCACTGACACATGCAACAAGCTTAACCACAATTCAAGCACAAACCTTAACAAAACCTCACGTTTTTCTCGGGTCTTCCAAGTTTTGTTTTATCTTACCACCAGAAATTGATAGGAAAGGATTTAGCCTTAATTCAGGTGTGAAAATAGGTAAGGTTCTAATTGCCTAAGATAATGCGTGCTCCGTGAAGAAGGCTGCTGCAGCATGAAGTGTTAGTTTGGGCTCCACCACCAGATACTCAGGCTACAATCTGAGAAAGCCATGAGTAGCATCATTAATTAATTTTAAATTGAGGCAAAAGATTTTTTGCCTAATAAGCTGACAGCCATAAAGCATACTTGTATTGATTAGCATGCACGTGTGAGCATGCACAGGACTACATGTATTATGCAGTAAAAAATCATCCACATAAAAGAAATTATCAGTATACACCACTATATTTGTCAATACTGCAAGTAAAAGGAGAGACACCAGTGAGAATAAATCAGAAAACTTTACCCATTAGCTACTGCAGAAGCTTATCTACAATCCCTTGTTGCAAGTGGGGCCTCAAAAAGGATACTCAAATCTCTTTTAGACCGGAGCTATGCAGGCAAATCTCTGTGCTGCTTTAATGTTTTTTACTCACAAGAAAAGCCTTGTCCTCCAGCAGCACAGCTGAGCTGGAAGCGAATTCAAGGTCATTACTGTATTAGTTGCAAGAGGACCCCTGCAACCTAACAGGATCTTGAAGGCTGCAAGTGGAAAGCTGCCCTAAGCCCAAAGAAATATCAGTTTATCTTATCTCCCTCCACATGGAACACTGAGTCAGCTCCCCTTCAGCTCCTGGGGCTTCTCACACCTCACAGTCAGTGCCCTCAGCAATGTTTGGGAGCAGAGGGCAGCCCCTCCTCACGTTCCCCTTGCTGGTGGCAGAACTCCGTGGGGAATCTCCCACAAAACCACCTGAGGTGTGTGTTGGGTATGCTTATGAAGGCAGCACATCTCTGCTGGAGGCAGCAAACTTTTGGGTAGCAAGCCAGAAATGACAATCTTAATGAATGATGCTGGCCAAATGAAGAAAAACAGGTGGTCTCATGAGCGCAGCTACTGAAGCCTACTGGATCCTTCAGGAAGAAGCTTCTGTCTCTCTCATCTACACTCATTGAACGGTTTTATAGTTATCAAAACAAATCTACAAAAAATTTTCCAATTATCATTCACTTATCACATCACATGACACATCACATTATCATTGCTTCATGCATCCACCTTCACATAATATCCAACTTGCCATAATAATCCTCCCTGCTTATGAACAATCATACAATCATTAAAGTTGGAACAGACTTCTAAAATCACCTAGTCCATCCATCAAACCATCACCATTATGCCTGCTAAACCAAATGGCAATGCTGAAGTCAAAGTTTACGCTAAGGAACAGCAGAGGAACCTGGTTAGGGTAGGGTTAGGCTTGCACTTATCCCAAGCCCATGACTTACCCCAAGCCAGGTTCTCATTCAGCAGAAGTGATGCACACATTAACTACAGAGGTAAAGATACCATTTTGTTATTATCTCATATGAGAAGGGTCTTTCAATCACCAGATGACTTAAACCCAAATTACCATAAGGACAGAGATGTTATTCCTACTCAATCACAATGGAAGCCTTGGAAGGTATGAGGCAAGGTACTACTCTCTAAAACTCTCTGGGGATTGCAGAGAGGTGGGGGTCAGCCTCTTCTCCCAGGTAACAGCGATAGGATGAGAGCTAATGGCTTCAAGTTGCACCAAGAGAGGTGCAGGTTGGATATCAGAAACATTCTCATGGAGACTGGTGATGGAGTGGCACAGGCTGCCCAGGGAGGTGGTGGAGTCACCGTCCCTGGAAGCATTCTACTATTGCGTGGATGTGGCCAGTAGGCATGGCATGGATGGGCTGATGTCTGGACTAGATGATCTAAGAGGTCTTTCCCAACCTTAACAATTCCATGAGTCTAAGGCACAAATTAGTACAGTCAGTAAAGAGCTATGCATCTGCTTAGTACAAGTACTGCTGGCAAGTACGAAAAATAAAGGCAAACAGCAAGAGCACATTCAAAGTATCCCAGGAAATGAAGCTGCCTCCCCAGTGGAAATTAAAGGCCAATTCTGCAAAAGAACCAGCTTACAGGGAATTCCCCCACACTAAGATGCAAGATGGTAATGCATTCCTCACTCCCTGTATATGGACCATTGTTTGGCAACAAGGAGCACTCCTGATTTTTCTGAAGTGGGCCTCCTGACTATTTCTTAAGTGAGATGAGATGGATGAGGGAGATTTTTTTTTTAATTCCTTTGAAACATTCCTCCCTTTCAACGCTGTCTATTGTTAAATTAATTTGTACAGACCCCAGTGGCTCAGGGGTCAGAATGGTTCAAGTTGATGTTCTAAGCTGCACACTGTTATGTTAAAAAGGGTTTTTCTTGGCTGCAGCTTTGCAGTGAGAAGGTCACCCCAGGGTTATTTGGGGTAGCAAATGTTAGTTGTGGGCAACCATTCCCAGAGGACTGAGAATCAGATGGGGAGGGGAGTTATTTGATGGAAGACTTCGGCAGCCTGAATGCTCCCTTAGTCTGTGTCATAGTCAGCTAATTCCAGGGTATTAAGAAACCTCTGGCACAGGGCAAGACAGCTGGAGGCTGCATTTCCAGGGTGGGGAGGCACGCTCATCCTCTCCTGTGGGAAATACCAAATCGGTTTTAGCATTATCAGATCATATCTGTGGTGCAAGCTGTACAGTAGGCAGCAACAGACAGGCAAGCCTGTGGGGAATGGTGACTGCCAAAATATGTATATTAGTCACTTGATGGCCCACGCACTTGTCTTATTGGCTGTGATGAGGCCTCCTAATTAATGAATCTCTTCTGGACAACTTCCTTGTTAGTCCCAATAAATCTGGCAATTTCCTCCAGTGTTAAATTCAGCTGAGTCAAGTTGCATTCTGTATTACTTGTGGCAACTTAAGAAAACATCTTCTGAAATGAAGAAGAAACATCAAAACAACTTAAGATTTTTTCTTTTTATGTTCAACATTGCTCAGTGCCTTTTTAATATATCTGTTTATCTTGTTCTTAGGGGAGATTCCTTGGGAGGGACAAATGATAGCACTGCTAACCTGAGTCATTTGTTTAATGCATGGCAAGCATCCCAAGCTGTAGCATCAGGTTTCAGTTTGCTCTTGGGGATGGACATAGGCAAGCAGGTTGCCTGTCTTCAGGTTCTATGACAAAACCTAGGCTTTTGAGTTGAAGGGAGATAGTAGGGATAGTAGGGAGAGCTTTCTTTTTTTTTTCCCCATTTGTTACTTATGACCCATTTCCAGTAGCTCAGGCTGTAAAACAATTACCAAACATAGTGAGACTTGCAGTAAAATTCACTCAAGCTGGCAACCCAGCAGCTGGAGAAATGCTCAGTGGGGCTTCTGCCAAGGAACGCGTCCCAGATTATTCTGTAGAAGCACAGGGACTTAGAAGTGTAAATCTCCAGGTTTTAGTGAGAGGTCAAAGCTATTTTCTGTGCCTCTGATACCCTCCCTCCACACCATCATCAAGTTCAAACTGTCTGGCACTGGGGCCAGCTATTGCTTTCCTACAGGCCACACACAGCACCTCCAGCACAGCCCAGAGATCACATACACATACGTGAGCATGGGTTGACAACAGGGAAGTAGAAATAACTGTACTCACTCTTAGCCCCACATGCAGGCTTTGCCAATGGCAATGAACACCACAGCATCAACAGCCATGGAAGACCTGGTACTGCAGGGACTGCCTGCACTTTGCAGGTCAATCTCCATCCACCCAACTTGCCACACCTTTTTTCATTCTCCAATTTACAGTGGGATTCAACACTCCTGAGAGTGAAAATGCCATCTCTATCTTCTACAGACTGATTATGAGCTGACCACAGTCTTGGTTTCATAACTAAGGGTTTATACAGAAATGCACGTTAACATTCAGAACAACTTTGCAGTGAATCACTTCCAGGCTCCCCAAAAACTGCAAAGTGGTGTAAGTATCATACAGTTGTACTGAAAAGTAATTCTCATTACATACTTGGCACCTATTGTACCTACCTTTCCAGGCGCCCCTCATGTATCCATGTACTACGTATCCTCAGCCCTACCTACATGTGAGCTCTTAAGCCATTAGCTCTTATCAAACCTCTGCAGTGCCCTGGCTTTGTTCACAGAAAGATGGAAAGGTTCAAGGCTGCTTGACACTACACTGCATGTCAGCAGTGCCTGCTTCCATGACAGGATCAGACCATAAAGCAGCCTATGTTCATCCCTGCACTACAACTGTGCATCTTTGAATCCCCCTCCCTCCCACTCCCAAACTGCAAGTAGTACTGCAGAGTACTACTCATTCCCAGAGGATCTGATCAGCATCACGCTCCTGAGAAGCCTAATCCTGTGCATTTGCAGGAAAGAGCAAGCTGGCTGGAAATAAGAGAGAACTATAGAAACAAAGGCATTGGATTGATGACCATCACTTTTTCTCTGATCTTCTATTTATTCCTATGCACCTTGTTAAGGTATTTACTCTTACTGTCAAGGGAAGGTGCATGATAA